TATTATATGGCTTTCGGGGAAATTTTTCTTGCGGGACACGGCAGGTAGTCCCGAGCGGGCAAGATAGCTCAATCTTGCCCGCTCGGGTAGCCAATTACAGCGTAGGATTTGATTCATCTTGCCCACTCACGGAGCTAGCCATATAATAAAAGTAGATAACCGCGGCCAAATATGTGAGCAGTTGGACATTAAAGCTGATATCGATTCAATTTACCTTCCAATTTTAATTTTGACTTTTCTAGTCAAACTTAAGTATCAGGTAACTTTGAAAAAAACTTTCGCGGTGTGACAATCTGTTATTGTAAACTGTGACTTTTATTATATGACCGAAAAAATTACTTCACTCACTGAGAGGAATTAACTGAGTTATCGTTTTAATTTTGCACTGCACTGAAACTAACACAGGCGTTCTTTCAAATTGCACTCACCTAAAGGCTCGTCCAATTTTGAGAGAACTTTCAAATATCACTTGTAGTTTAATCATGATTTATTACACTCGAATTCATACGATTGCCTATACTAATTTTCATCACTACAAAGAAACTAATGGCCAGTCTGTAATATCATGAAGGACACACACGGAGTAAAACGAAATACACTTTACTCGAGCACCACGCGATTACAACTGAGCTTCGAGCTATAACAGAATACTAAATAGGCTAAAGCACCGCGGGAACAGGTACCTGGAGGCACGTGCTAATGCATATTATAACACAGTCAGCATTAACTCTGACTTGTAATTTCAGTGGAATTACTTCATTGCCCAGTGTTAACATCTTACCAAAGTTAACCACAGGCGTTTTGCCACACGGCAATGGGTGATCTATTCAAAAATGCAAGTGATCACTATAATAAGACGCAGCATTAACACGTATTTGCGTCCTCTGTTGAACATCGCAACCTTATTATGATTTTGCTGAGCTCTCACCAATGTTTTTTAGCGTGACTCAGGGTGACTCAGCTATTTTGATATCTAAATTTGCTGATAAATTGACAGTGAATTGATTATGGGAAGCCAACGTGGACAGCGAGGAAACGTTTATTCCTTGGACAGCTGCATGAATAAAACTGATTTCTATTTCTTTGGAGAAGAAGAATGGTGAATGTCAGAAATGTTTTCAGGCCTCTAGTCCTCGCAAGTTTGCAAGACAGTAACCCTGTTAAATCAGTGAACCGCACAGTTAAGACAGGGAGACCGGTGCAAGTACCCTACGAGCAGAGGTCCCTTTTCTAGGAAGATCGAAGGGACCTCTGCTCGCAGGGTACGCGCAGGCGGCGTACTTGCTTACCGTAACGTTTTTTGTTGTGTTGACTCTTACTCAGGGTATGTTATTGCATCCTCATTTTCCAGGACTTTCTTTGCACATAGAACTGGCTGGATTACAAACCAAAATATTCATCAGTCAAGAATAACCATGACCTAGCAAATAAAATGGCACTGGCACGCCATTGCCCGAGATGTACGTAGCCTCCCATGCGGCTCGTCACAATCTTAATCCCAAGGAGGCTACCGGAAATGACTACTAAACTCGTCGTGGTTTCAAAAAGGCATTCGAGACAATTGTTACTTACATTTATACAGTCTTTTCGTTCCATTCGATTTACTTACGTGTACTCTGATCGTATTAAAATTCTAAACACATCACAATTACATCGTCAAATCAGACGCGTTGTTTTCTTATCTTAAGTGTGTTCGTCTAGTCGTCACACAACGCCTAGAGCGAGTCTGAGAGTTTGATTGCACTTGAATTCACCAAACATTGCTAGTGTTCTCTTTCTGTTTCGTATTATTATCAAGTGTTGATTTAGATTTTTACGAATTCAGCAATACTTGGAATACTTCTACATGTAGTGACGCTTTTAAGGTAAACAGAAGCCACGTGTCTTCCACGGGGGAAATTTTTCGAACGTTGCAAGCACCTCGTCACAAATGTATAATAACTGAGCACAGTCAGCAGTAGAATTTTTTAAACTTCTTCTTACCATCATCAACAACAAAATGTACACAATGTGTACACATGACTAAAACCTGCTATTTCTATATATCAAATGCTATGATAATTTATTTGATATTTGCATGGTTCCGTTCTGTCTGTGTTTGTTGGTTCCGTTCTGTCTGTTGCTGTGCCATCCTTACTAACTGTACAAATTAATGCATTAAAATTTTACTTAGTTATTCTGTTTTTTGTCATTATTATCACTTCGTCTCTAAACATTTGAAGTTGAAGTTAAGAATTTAGGCCAAAAATCACGAAAGACTGTGAATTTAGCACTTCGTCATTTAAAACTGTACTCACGCGAAGTTCGGCTCATGGGAATCCC